CTAGGTTAGCATGGGAATTCTTTTGGCCAAATAAAGAGGTTCCGTTGTTGATTCGATATATTGAGGATAATGTATGCAAACTCAAAATAATCTAAAGATAATTATAAAACAAAAATAATAAATGTATTATTATTTTGTTTTTTTTTAAGGACCTATGGAGATTTGCATTGCCAAAGTCTCGAGAGTTTTCTGCTTTTTGGGTAACCATTCCCTTTCAGTTTGAACTTTATGACCAATATGTTAAAGACGAGGTAAATAAGTTTCATATTTATACATAACTTTTTTGATATTAACAAAGCATTTGTTCTTGAAATAGAGCTTGATTGAGAAAGCCATAGAATCTGGAACTATTATCTTTAATTACATTCAGAATCGTGTTTCTGTTATACAAAATAAAGATATGTTTAAACGCAAAATTACAGTAAACATAGTTGATGATGATAAAAAGCCTCAAACCAAAACCTATACCGTATTTGTTACGAATTCACCACTATGGCAATCTGCTTTCGGACATTCTTTGGCAAATGTTGATGGATCCGATTTCGGCATGGTATTTAATTATGATGGAACCTTAAAACGGTATATCATCAGCTTAAGAAGCACAGATAAACAAGCTGATGTTGCTCAAGTTGCAAAAGCATTTGGTGGTGGTGGCCATAGGAATGCATCTGGATTTGTTTGGGATAAACCAATTGAAGATTTATTCGATCCTGAAGAACAATAAGTATTTTTATAACCAAGAAATATAACTAATTGGTTTATTTGAATATATATTTTGTACTATTGATTGGTTTGTCAATCTTTTGAATAAAATAAAAGACCTTTTTAGTGAATTCAAAATCATATTTCTATACATTTATAGTCTATATATACATTAAAAGTTATCTTAATATACTGTAAATTTTCATATTACATTTTTATTTCAAAATATTATCTAATGGTCTCCTGTTTATATTGTTTTACTAGTTCTTTCAAGAGTAAAAATAATTCAATTTTAGAATAAGGTTAATTTGATTCAAGTCCATTACACTTAGTTAGGGAACCTGGCACGCACAAATTAATTTGGCATGCCATTTTCTAAAATCTGTGCCAGGATGCCAACCTGGCACGATATACGTAACAATTTTTATCCTATATATAGAGATATTAAAAGTCTGAGTTGGTTTAACTTAATTTCATAAAGTCAAATCTCTATTAGGGTTCAATTCCTTATCAATCTTGTATTTCATATGCATTTTGAACATTTAAATATATATATTTTCGAGTTATTTGAGTTGTAAATATGATGCACTAATATATTTCAAATTGCGAATTACAATAAAAAGCACAATAAATAAATTTCAAATTGCGAATTATATATTCAAAGTTAAAATGCGGAAATCTACTTTTAATTGAAATTGGTTATAGAATGAGCGATGTATCAACTTTATTTCATTTTCCGATAAATTTGAAATGATGATTTTTATCGTTGAAAAGCCTGTTTGTTAAATGGGGATCTCCGGACACATTTCCGATTTTAAAATTTTTTGAAATACAATTAAGATTTTTCAAACTCTCATTTAGTTTTAAAATGCGCCGCTCATTTGTTAACTTTGAACCCCCTATTAAATATATTTCAAATTGCAAATTAAAATAAAAAGCAAATATTTTCAATTAAAGCGCAGATACAGTGCATATATTAATGACATATAATTAGATAATTATAAACTACGTTAATTACAAATTTTATGATACAATGCATAATTTTAAATTTTATCAAATTCAAATTACTCGAATTTCACGTTAATGAGTCCATTCACTACTTGTATATACGTTGTAGATAGGAACGGAATTTAGATTTCTTTATAAAATTACAATTTTGAAGCAAATTTACTTAAATTCTGTTCTCACTTACAATATATATATGTTGAAATAGGAATAGAATCATAATAGAGTTTGGAATCAAATAAAAATAATGAGGGGTTTCAGAATTAACGTGCGGAAATCTAATTTTGACCGAAATGGATATTGTATTTATTTTCAAATAAGCAATGTATCGGCTTTTTTGTCGTTGAAAAAAAATTTATTTATTTCGTTAAATGGGAGTCTCCGATTTCAAAATTTAATATACAAATAAGATTTTTTAAGCTCCTACTTATTTTCGAAATACGCTATTTTTTTTAATTCTGAAACCACTCAATATATAACATAAACACTATATGCAAACAAATAAATTTTCAATTATTTATTATAAACAATATAAAAATTTTACATTTTAAAACTAACTTTTATAATAACTATTATTGTTCTTCTTCTTCTCCTTTTAATTCATTATATTTTTTTAATAACGATTTGTAATCTTTATCTAGCTCATCGTATTTTTTTTAAAAAATTTCAATGTTTTTTTGAAATGATAGTCCATTCAAATATCCTGGAATAAACTTAGCGGCCTTTAATTTTAAATTTTCCTCGGCATTGGTACATTTTGAACATGTCGGAACCGTTGGAATTCGTTGGAATTGTAATAGAAGCGGAAGCTACGAGTGCGTCTTGACGGATTTGAAATAATGAAGAAATTGCATTATCGATTTGCGGAACCAACTTAGAGATGGAATCGGAACCGTTAGACATTCTAAAAAACAGAAGATATGGTTTTAATATTCAATTACCCGTAATTATAAAAAGAATCAAAAGCTTTTAATTGTTTCATAAAGAGAAACATGACGTCAAGAAAGAAAGGCAGTGCACATTTAAAAAAAGTATTGAGTAACCGGTACTCAATACTTCTCACTCAATTTTTTGGACCCCAGTTATCCAATGAGAGAGTGAAATTAAGAAGTTTCTCTTACTAATCATTAACGAAACAATAAAATTAAAATAAAATTTTCATAATAATAACCTTAAAATTTAAAGAATTCAGAAAAACGAATATCAAAAAAAAAAAGTTGATTTTCAAACAGATTAAATAAATAAAAGTCGCGTCACAAAAATTTGACTGATCAAAACAATCGCGTGTTGTTTCCAGGTGGGAATGTTCCAAATCAGGAAAACCACCGTCGGAAGGTTTTCATGTTGAGAAAATGGCAATTATCGTTATTCCCCTGAACTTTTATTTTTAGACATTGACTAGGAATCAGGAACCGATATAAGTCTGGAGCATTACCATATTTGGTAAATTTGGTAATATCCCTGACTGTACTGTAGGGTTCAGGGCACAGGGGCATGAGGCATGCCCCTAAGGGGGATTTACTTATTTGTGCCGGTAATACAACCCAAAAAAGGAAATTTAATTTTGTAAATAAACAAAGTGCATAAAGACACAAATTTAGGGTTAGGACATTAGCATTGGAAGCTATAGCCATAGACTGTTGCTTGTTATATGTAAAATTTCGTTCCTAACATTTTTGATTAGTGTACCAAGGTCGATTTAAACACTAGTTTTTGAGTATTTTTGCTTTTTTCTTCTTTCGCACATGTTCGGAATTCATGTGGGCTGATCCGGAACGATCAAAATTCGAACTCACTGATTGGTTATTTCCTTTTTAGAAGTTTGTATTATCAGCACAAATAAGTAAAGCCCCCCTAAGGGCATGCCCCTAGGGCATGCCCATAGGCATTCATAGGAAGAAGTTCGTCTGATTGGCTGATATAAATCAATTGTCCGGGTAACTTATTTATATGTTTTAGAAGAACATCTTTATTCACTATGCAAAATAATTCAAAAATAATCTACCAACTAAAAAACTTTACTTAGAAGACAAAATACTCTTGTCATTTATTGGACCATGCCAAAGGATGCTTAGATTGAGGTAACTGAATGCGTTTTTGTTCAAAACTGTCTTATTATATTAGATTTGAATAAACTTTTATTATTAACTATTGGGTCTTAATAGGAATAAGCTTATATTAGAAGAAAGTTTAGGTTTAACACTTAACTATGTTCTGTTTTACAGTACGTTTGGGTTTATTCATTGTTAATAGGTTTTGGTAGGTCCGTATTATTTTATCAACAATCACTTCACTGACAGCTCATTTAGCCGACATCACGCCAGATGAAATTTAGTAAAAATATATATCTGTAACTAATCAAATGCTTAACTCTAACCCTATGTAATGTCAGCTAAATAAGCGTTCGGTAAAGTGATTGTTAGTGAATTGATCAGAATCCGTTTTTGTTTATAGATTGTATATATGAGTATGGGATGTTTTATACCAAATGATTTATTATTATAGTGCAGCACTATATGATTGGCCCACTAATAAAGATTTTTAAAATTTTATCAATCAATTTATTGAAAAAATTTATCATAGTAATTTTATAATAAAAACTGTGCATTTTTAAATTTTATTATTATGATGTAGATAATCAATCAACGATTAATTGGTTAAAATAGTATTTGGAATCTATAC